GCTGATGAAGGGGCAGAGATGGTGTATAATGTGTAATTTTAGTGTTCAGTATGAAATGAGGACATCGTGTCTGTACAGGAAAAACAAAACTGTCTCTGGTCTCCAGCGACTGATGATGAAGGTCATCTCAACGCTCAGTTTAAAAAACATCATTAATTCATCACAGGGCGTCGAGTGCGCCGTAACACGAGAGCATCAGTCACGAGAAGACGCAGAAATCGAAGAGAAAGCTCACAGGACACTCAATCAAATCCACAGCACTCCGGTGTACATTAAAAAAACACTTTTTTTATTTCGTCAGAGACCAAAAATAGCCTCGCCGAGTCTACATGCAGAATATAACATGTCAAACACATTCTAGTCACATTTAGAGAAGTCACGGCTGCGATGGTCGACAACAAGTAGAAACACTCAGCAGAGGGCTGGGGGGAGGGGCTGACCTACAACCTGTAAATGTAGACTAAGACGGTACAGAAAACGTCAAATCAGAAACATACAGAGAAGAAAACAAACCTCCCTGGACCTGGGCACAGCCTGGGGGGCGTGGTCGTGAAATCTGGCGGCATTACCTGCTCATGTCTCACCTTTACCAGCAAATACAGTAAATTATTTACAGTTACTCAGTTGTTTTTGTGTATTAGCTGAACCAAAGGACTGTTTGGTCTCAGTGGATGATGTGAGTTCGCTGCTGGTGGATGGTTTCTGAATTAAACTTGATTAAAGTAAATCAGCTGACACTCGTGTTTGCATTAAATACATGAGGATATTTTTCTTGTGTTGTATTCCCACAGACAAACTCTCGGACCAACTTCAACTTTAAATACAGCGTAAATGAATCTGACCTTAAGAAAGTTGGCAACTTGGTGAAAAACAGATTTAAGGATTTTCTGACCTCTTGAATTATTACAACACGACTTAAAATTAATGCTGTTGGCATTAACCTCGTTAAAATGACGTTAACGCCACAAGGTGGCAAATCTCCATTAGCGAGTTAACGCGGCTGCACAGGTTGATGCACAAGTTAGCTTGTTAATGCGTTAGCGCCGTGCAGCCCCTTGAATGGGGCTGTCACTACCCGATCCGTACCGGAAACCCGATCCGTACCCCGCATGCGCGAAAGGTGTCTACTTCCGATCGAAGCGTTTTACGATAGTTATGGGTCAGAGTATCTGTTAAGATGTTAAGAATAACAAGTATCTCTTAAAATGTTTCCGATAATGAAACATTTAATATAATATAGACAAAAACAAAAAAATAAAAAGATAGTTACGGATCGGGACTCCCCGATCCGTACCGCGCATGTGCAAAGTCGGACCGTACAAATCGGGTCTACCATGTGCAGATGTTTTCTTCTTCTTCTGTTCGTTTAATGGCAGTTTACTCCCCAGTGT